TGGTGTTCAAACTAAAGAAATCTGGCAAAATTTCTTGAGTCACGAATTTAGATTTACATTTCTCAAGGGTATTAGCACGCAAGTGAATGTAATAGATTCGACTGGAGTCCATTACTCCATCCATTACTCCAACGTGTCTCCTATACTGGAACAATAAATGATTAAAAAATATAGGTTTCTTAATTTCGTTTGTTAATCTATTTAGTTCATTCATATCATAAAATATATAATTATTTTTTATATGTTATGTAATTTTTTTTCATTATATAGCAAATGTGAATTTTTCTGATTTTTGGGGGACAGCCTGTAAATTGATAAATAGTGTATACCTACTTTTGAACACCACATTATATACATAAAATGACACTTAGAATTTATTAGGCAGATTTCTACAAAAGACAAGAGATTCCAATATCTCTTGTAAGATGAAATCATGCATTTTTTCGAGGACATTAACGCTTTGCGAAAGAAACAAACTCACTCGGAATTTCATTTTAATTTCGGTTCCTAGGATCCCCGTTTTTATACGCCGCTTAACGTTACGCCGCTATATAAATTAGTGGATTTGCGGATGGTGTAATCGGAAGGAGAAATGAGAGTGTTTCATTCACTTACGCACAAATAACCCCCAGAAAGGCATGAATCCATCGCCCTCAGCTGTGGAATAAATAGTTGGCATTGTAACTTAAAAAAATTCATTGATGTTCTCAAGAATTTTTCAAAGCAGTATTCATTTTCAAACAACGATTTATAATTAAAATATATAATTCGGCTTGAAATAACCCACAAAGGGTTAATAAGCAGTAAAAAACAACAATATATATATATATATATATATATATATATATATATATATATATATATATATATAACTGAACATTGAAGTCAACACTCAGCGGCCACAGGCTGTTTTCATACATATATGCAATCGTCAGGTGGCCTGACGATTGCGTCTCGCATGAAACAGCCTGACGCCTCTAAGTGTTGACTTCAATGTTCACTTATATATTTACACACGCTCTATGTCTGATAATTAGTAATTTATCCCATAAATATAGCTTACCTTAAGAGTGTATTTCTTCATATATATATATATATATATATATATATATATATATATATATATATATATATATAAATAAATTCGGGGAAAAATAAATTCAAGGCTATTTTATTACAAAAAATCAGGGACAAAAGACCATATAAACACTTTTTAAAAAATCCTGACTTTCTGAGTTATCAAATTTAAATAAGGTTTACGGTAGGTGGCGCTGTGTTGCCATGTAGACTAGGTTACATTTGTCATTCATGTACATTTCTTGCTAGTCTGTCCTGAAAGTTTAACGTCTGTAGTAATAAGTAAACTGAGAAAGATTTTTTCCGTTTAACAATAACAGGATATTCATAACTTGAGCAGGCATATATGATTTTTACACACGGCTGAAGGAATAGTAATGGACGCGAGGCTGCACGGCTGTATAAAATTGCATTTCCAGACCGAAGGCAGACGTGTCACTCAACCACTCTTGATGTTTATCGTCCTGTTGCTGTGACAGGACACGTAGTACCACAAAATATGGTAATAAGTATTCTTGGATTCTACCAAGTATTGTATAAGCATGTCCACTGTTTTCGCGGAAAAACAGCATAGCGTAAATGAAAAATGCCACAAACTTAAAGAAAATAAAGTATTATCGTCAAAATGCTTATGTTATTATTTAGATGAAAGAAAAAAGTAATTTTTAATTATTTTTTGAAATTTTTTAATATTTTCTAACACGTTCGAAATTTTGGTTAAAGTCGTCTTTGTTTACGTCATCGCGGTGACGTTTAAAATAACAGTTTTTTTTTTTTTTTTTTTTTTTTGAAAAAACATATTGATTTGGAAATTCTTGTAAAAATAAAATAATTGTCCAATCTTAACGAAATTTTTCAGGACTTATTCACAAATCAATGAAATTATTTTTTGAAATATTTTTTTTAGATAATTTTGGTAAAAATTATATTTTTTAAAATATGTTATCCCACATTTACTTAATTTAATGAAATTTCGCCCAAAACCTTTTTGGTTCCTGAATTTTTTTTTTTTGTTAAAAGTAGGAGTCTTCGAAGATGCTAAATAATCTACTTTTTTTTTCACAAATTTGAGCTATTTAACTGAAAAATCTGCTCTGAATTGAAAAAAATGAATCAATAAAACTATGATATTACTTAATTAGAAAAGATTTTAATTGCTTTTGTAAATAAGTAATATTAAGACATTATTGTCTGAAAAAATAATTTTTTCTGATGAATAATTAATTTTTACAAGAATTTTTTCGTTTTTTTTAAGAAATTTTAATTATAATAATTTATAATAGTTTTAAATCGTGTAAAGCTCTGTATTAGGAGGTTCCTCGATATTATGTAGTAATTAAGTAGAAAAAAAAATTTACGAATCCAAAATTGCTAAGTTTAATAAATTTAGTTGCGCTACTTTTTTTAAAAAAATTTTTTATGTTGTATTTTTTTTGTAATACATTCCTTATTTCCATGTATGATATACAGAAATTGCCATTATTATAACAAGGTCACGTGATCTAAGGGTTTTGTCCCTTTACGTGGCCTTTTCAAAACATTTCGTTTATTAACAGATTGTATTTTCCGATCAGCTGTAAAAGTGTAAACTTTAAATTTTAAATTATTTTTTCTTTTTTTCATTTACTATTTCACTAAATAATTTTATTTTATGTATTGTATTTCCATTAGTGTGTGTCATACTCAAATAGAATATTTTTTTAAAAAATCAGACTTAAAAATTATGTCATTTATGGTCATCAGTAGTAGCTGTCATCGGCTCGTCAATCAACCATTATCAATAAGATCGAACAACTGAACGGGACCGCTCGTTAATAATTGGTTGTATATTATTTTTTTATGCTATAAGTAACAAAGATTTCTTTGAAATCAGATTACTTTAACACTAATTTTTTTAATTTTACTAAAATAACGTGTCAGAATTTTTTTTAAATATTTTAAAAATCGATAAATTTGTGTTTGTTTACAAATTTCTTAAAATTAAGAAAATGGCCGTTTTTAAGAAAATTTAAAAATTTGAAATTAAATTTGACAATCAAATGTATATAGTTTCTATCTGAAATACACCAGAATTGTTTAATTAATACAAATCGTAAATTTAATTATTAAACTTTCAATTAAAGCTAAAATGAAATCTTCAAGAATGTTTTTTCGTTGTAAAAAATTCATTTTAAACTTCAATATAGAAAATTTATGCCGAAATAGTGGACATACTTAGTATTGTATATTTAAGAGGTTCTACGATAAACATAAACTTAAAAGTGAAGATTTACGGACATATGTTTATATAAACTTTCGTCCTTCTTTTCGCGTTGGGAAACCGACCCAAAGTTTGTAAAAATATCTTTGACACACCCTGTCTGCGTGTATTACTTAAACGTTCTTTTGGTGGATACTCGTATTTCGAGTAGCAGCTCCGATTGTTTATTAATAAGTATATGTTGTATTTATGCTATTTACCGGTAGGAATATTCGAGAAATATGATTTGAGAACATATGCGCGCTACGGCAGGATTTGAATCTGCATCCCCCTCGAAATACATTATCAGTTCTAATGGGCTTTGGACCTCTCAGCTATGGAGTGGGCCGATGATCACAAAGTTGAATAGTGCTTTTTAATACAGGTTTTTCTGACTCTCGAAATAGATGTAACTGGTCAAAGTATCCTAAAGTAAATTCTAAAGAAAGGGTTGGATTTTTATTTATTAATCCAACAGTTTTGTATCACTTAAAACTAATAAAATATCTGTCAGATTATTAGATAAAAATCATTTGTTTTTTTTTTGTTTTGTTTTTTTCATTATTACACACACACATAAGCAGTTGATCTTATCCATTTAAAACTTCAATCGCATGGCCTTTGAGGGCGTAAACATTGATAATTCGGCACAGCGTGTATAATTTTATATGTGCGAAATGTTAATCTACATAAAAAAAAGATATTTGCCTCGTTTTATGTTGCATGCTCTACAGTGTACAAATCAGAATGGCTCTTCTCCTGGACTGACTATCACCCAAGAATAGATTTCTGCGAAATTGAACACAAAGGCGAAGTTGAGATTTGAACTCGGCTCTTCCATTTCACGTGGAAAAACTTTATGATAATTACATAAGACACGACATGTTATCACATTACTACAATTACACTTACATACACACAAACACACACACAAACTTCTCTCTTCTGATAAATCTCTTACAGCATATATACAAGAATTTTTACTGACACACAGACACACAGATATATATATATATATATATATATATATATATATATATGTGTGTGTGTGTGTGTGTGTGTGTGTGTGTGTGTGTGTGTGTGTGTGTGTGTGTTCGCGCATTTGTGTCTGTATATATCATAATTGAGTTTTTTATATGCGAAAACATACAATATAAATAAATTGGTTATATCGACATGCCAGCATGCACAGCTATATGTCGACAAATTCTCTCCAAGCGTTATGAAATACTTTATTTTATTCTTATACAACGAATTTTAAATATAAAAACGAATGGACAAATTTATTTTATGTAAGTCGCGTTTCTGCATCTATTTTGGCATCTCAGTATTTTCTTCTTCCGATCAAATTCTTCATTTGTAGTCTTTCTTTCTTAACTTTTCAAGACCAAATTCCATTTCCCTCTCGTTGCCCTGATCTTCTTTCACACATTATTCTTTTGTCATCTGTTTTTAACCAAATATATATATATATATATATATATATATATATATATATATATATATATATATATATATATATAATTTAGGCTTTTGTATAACAAATCAATTTCCCTATTTTATTGAAATGCGCTTTCTTTACATTTGTTTTCATTTTTGATTTGCATGTATCTTAATATTCCAAGTTGTAATATTCTTCCGGCAGCTATAAAACTGTGTTCGTCATGAACTCTGTGTTAGGAAATTAAGATGTATTGAAAGAGTGGCCAGCTTGTTTATTTGTTGTAGTTTTCCCTATTTTTCTGTGGGAAGGAACGTAGGTGATTGCAAATGACAGATGGAAAATATTAAAGTCTATACATAAATTTTACACTTGTTTTAAGAAATTATGACAGATTTACATTTATACTTCCGAATAAATATAACTTTACGAAAAAATCATACATATTCATAAATAATCATTTTATCTGTTTGTCGTGTGGGTGTGTGGTGGTCTAGATTTCTCCCGAGAACATCGATATGCTATTCAGAATTCTGGATGATGCTTAATGGTGTCTTAGTTATAATTGTCTAGCTGAAAGGACCGGATATACCGTTTCCATGGAATCAGTCCGATCGCTCGATGGTGTGAATATATATATCTAATCAATACAATAACAAAGGTTAATAGGGAAGTGATTGCGGAATTGGGAATTGAATATTACCTCCAAAAGATGAGTCACACAAGAAAGTGCTCTGTGAGATTCCATTATTTCTAGATCCCAAACCTGAAGTATTCAAATTAGGAAACTCCAGGAACCTTACACTGTCAAATAAACTTTCATTTCTTATGTAGACTAGATATAAGCAGGAAGTTTCAATTAGGCTGTTCCAAGAACTGCCACCTTGTGGAAAAGATTTCTACGTGAATATTCTCTTGGGCACTATAATCTTAGCGTCTTCAATTCACGGGGCATCTGCCATCTATTCTCCTCATCTTTAAAAACACCCTTCCTCCACTTATATTCCTATCACACATCAAATTCAGTGACACTCTGCAAAGATATCCCCAATATATATATATATATATATATATATATATATATATATATATATATATATATATATATATGGGGTGGTCTGATAATTTTTAATAACATCCATACATACTCACGAATAAGTTTCCGTGTATTGATTTTAAACGATTAGAGATATGTGTTGATGTTTAAATTTCTTTCTTTTCGCTTCCCAAGTACGTTCCTTCCCTTCCCCTTGTTATTCTTAACCTTAATTTATTAATATACTTTAAAATATATTTAAGAATATTAATAAATTACATAATGTCTGTAATTTATTCAATCATATATACCAAAAAGAGATTTTGCTGCCTAAACACACAAATATATATATATATATATATATATATATATATATATATATATATATATATATATCTCTCTCTCTCTCTCTCTCTCTATCTATATATATATATATATATATATATATATATATATATGTATGAGGTTAATGGTTAGAGTTGAATCAGGCCATGAAACAATAGTATTAAAATGTGCTCAATACACGTGTGAAAAAACAAAAGTAAAATTAACATGTAGAACTTTTTATCTCTAAAACTCAGAAGGTCATTTGATTCCGCTTCCTTGGTTTCAAATTTACGGTATCCTCAGGCGATTTTTATCAAATGATCATCTCACCATATTTTATTTAGCAAAGAAAAAAAGATATAAAGAACGCCACATTATTATTTGCAAAAATAAATAAAATAACGCACGACGTTGAGTATAACAAAAAGAGAGGAGGCGTGTGTTAAGAAGAAGAAGAAGAAGAAGAAAGAGAAGGAAAGCAATGTATTGGTGGTGGTTAAATTCTTTTTTCTATCCCCACTAATGCATTTACAGTACACTTGCTTTCCTTCTCTTCCCCTTCTTCTATTTTTTTCTTCTTTTCTGAGACACGCACACACACACACACACACACACATATATATATATATATATATATATATATATATATATATATATATATATATATATATGCAAACACAGATACAAAGATAGATAGATAGATAGATAGATAGATATACACTTGCTGTCTTATCTGGTAATTGCCCGAAAAGCGGATATTATCCAAAAGATTCCGTTCTCATATTCTTTCATGGGTTATCTAAAAGTAACAATTCAAAGTAACTATCACTGAAAAGGGTTTTTGTTCGTTCACAGACAATGCCAAACCGCTGTCCCTAGGAGTTTGGGAAGAAATTCCAATAAGTTATCAATACCAAAATCGTAAAGCGACTTACGTAATAACAGGCAAATCGGTTATCTGAAAGTAACAATGTAAAATAAGTAGCCTTGTACAAGGCTTTTGTGCGCTCATAGAGAATAGAGCCCTTGACGGTGCTGGTATTAAAATAAATTTACAGTAGAAACACAACTGGAGTGACATATATTTTTACAATATACCTGCAAATGTATTTATATATAGATTTACAAATAGAATAAAATACAGATTAACAAAAGATTTACTAAACTGATAAATATAAAGTTAAGTTGTAAATACATGATGAATTTTAAGATCCTCTTGGTAAACAACATTTTTAGTCTTTAAATAAACAAGTGATATGGATTGCCGACTCGTGAACATCCCACATAAAGTTGGCCATGTGAAAAAACTGGTTCTGTAAAGTTAAGGCCTACCACATCCAAGGATTGTCCTTGACCTTTGTTAATGCTGATTGCAAAACTCAGTTTCACCAGGAATTGCAGTCACTTGAACTGGAAACGCATATCCAACGGAATAAGTGGAATGTTAGGAATAAATACAGACTCACCGCTTGCTTTGATAGATTTGTCGCCTCCAAGACAGTTGGTTTCATCTTCTTAATTGTAAATCGTATGACATTGCAAAGCTTTGGTGGAAACATGTTTATTAGCAGCATCAATAATGAGATGCACATTGTGAGGTGGGAAGCCTCCTGCTGTTAGGGTATTCAAAAATTCTATCGTCCAATTAACCTATCGTAATTAAATGTAAAACGTAACTTAAGGGTACATGGATCATGCCGATTAAGGACGTTTGGATTTGTAAAGAAGGATGTCTATTTCCACAGCTAGATTTGTTTTACACACCGGAAATATAATACGAAAATGTCCTTCAAACAGTTTGTTATTCCACAGACATCAACAACAACAACAACCACGATATGACTTTTTAAGGGCAGGTTGAAATATGATGTTGGGTAAAGTTTCTATTCGCAAATGACTTCAATTTATATGTTGTTTTACGTTTAATTGACCGAATAGATCGTGCCAATTTCTTTGTAATTAATAAACTTGAACCTGGTGAATTTAATGATGAACTTGGGGGATATCGCTTCAGATTGTACTTTTACAATGTAAACACACCACTGGGATCGTTTTCAAAGGAACATTATGCCGAATAAATTTGTTAAATAATTTAGAAGATAACCTGAAATTCATTCAGATGTGGGCCTCTAATATTTAAAAATCGAACAAAATCCATATCTGTCTGGAATTTTAAGCTTTGTAAGAGTTATTATTTCATAACACGTGTATCTTCATTTCTAAAAGGTTTACGAGGGCAATTATCTCACTGGCTTAACACTGTTATAACCATATAAAGGCGGTGAGATGTGATCTATGGGCCTTTATCGGTTTCATTTTATATTTTTATAAAATTCCAATTAAACTAGTTACACAATGATGTCAGTTTAACATTTTACCGGCCTGAATGTCAGAAATTTTCATAGAAAATATCGTTCAAACAGTTTCATCAATAATGGTTCACGCGTTCAGGCGGCAACTGTGATTGAACAGAGCAGACAGAAAAAATGCCATATATATATATATATATATATATATATATATATATATATATATGTTAATTATTGACACACACACATATAGATATATATGTATGTATGTATATATGTGTGTGTGTGTGTGTGAATAATTCGATAGATATAGATAGATAGATAGATAGATAGATAGATAGATATAGATAACAAATAAAAAGGACTTTCTAATCTTTTGGTCGTCGGATCTAGTAATGTAATTTAATTTAATTTATTGCCTCTGAGAGGAGAGGAGACATTCTTCCACAATCGTCGCTTTCATCGTCTGACACATTAGTGAGAGCAACTAATGCATGAACTTGTTGATTTATAAAATATCCCTTTGTACCCATATATTATAATGTTGATAATGATATATATATATATATATATATATATATATATATATATATATATATATATATATATGGGAAAGTTTAAACGAATGCACAAAAAACGCGTCACACACTCACAAAAGATTTATCTTAGATAGATTCCAATAAATCTGGTCTATTCCCTTTAGGATGGAGCGAGAAAAAATTCTCCACAGCTACTTTTTCTGTGCTCAGCTGCAGTTGCTACTTGATTGTGCTACGAGTTTGTCTATGAATTCTTTTAAATAAATGAAGAATTATTTTCACTGCTCTATTTTACATCTCTTACATTTCGTCCAATTAGTTTTAAATTCTCCAATATACCTGTCATCATTAGTAGCCTACAGCAATTTCTGTGTAGTTACGATTACCCTAAAGTCTTCATCGTTTCCCGCATCATTGTCGTTGGCGCCCAATCTCTGTCGCTTTAATTTTGTCATGAATATGTCCCGCATTCAAAGACATATAAGAGATTCAATATTCCATAGCAGTCCAAATGAAAAATCATATTATATGGAAATAGATATTGTCTCTGAAATAAGCACAAAAACTAAGAGATCGTGATGAATGTAATCAATATTTTTTCACATTTTATCACACACACCCTTACATGGAAATTAAATTCAAAACCTGAAAGAAATACCGTAATCAAAGATCTTCAAAGAAACTAAAGCTATCAATATTTTAAAGTCTAAAAGTCGAGCTTACTCTAAAGCTAAATTAATCAAATAATAAAATGTGCCCCACATTTTCTTTAAATAGGAAGGTGGGCTGTAAATTTCCAGTCTGACGAAGAAGCCTATCCAAAACATCCGATGCTTGGCCACTTTGTCAAGTCTGAACATTTTTCAGTATCTTCCCGTATTAAAATTCATGTACATTTTTTTTCATTCTTTTCGCAAAATATAAGAAAGGAAATTATATATATATTTTTTAAGATGTAAGTTATTTCTTTCAAGTTCTGCTGCAATTGATTTTAAAGTTTTATGGGGCCCCTAGGAAATATTCAATCCCAGAAATATTTTGAAATGGGCATCAGGTTATTTTTTACTTTTCTCTTTGATTGTTTATTGCGCATTTTTTTCTTGTTTTTATTTTTTAAGCCATCAATATATAAGTTATTCTCTTTGTGAAATTCTACAGACTTTTCATATACGCTTTATCTTGTCTTTTCTTTTGAGCTTATTGATTCGTTCCGTTGTTGTAGTTGTTAGTGTTCATTTCTTTCTTTCAGTTTCCTTTTTCCTCGGGAAATGTTCTCAGATTTGAAAATTGTTTTAAGTCGAATGAAAGGGTGATGCAGTGACAGAACCAAGAAAATGGAAATAGTGTGATATTCACATGAAAAAAAAAATCTCAAAATTTAATAGAATTTCCCAGATCCTCTTACAACAGACACAATAGCAAAAATGTCTTTCGTGTGTATTTTATAGTACACGTAAGTTGTCCCACACACACACAGATATCCATACAAAAATGGATGTAAATGGAAAGAAAGTTCAGTGAGTTTTAGGTCTTAAAAAATGTATAAACCAAACAAGTAGTCTTGTTGATAGCATTCAAATTGATTAAATATATATATATATATATATATATATATATATATATCAAAATGGATAACAAAAAATTTCTATACTACATTTTGTTCACAAACCTCCTTAACTTTCTAAATACTTTGTCCTTAGCACCATGTGCATATACAGAGTCATTAACATCAGTCTAAGAACACTTCATTGTGACAATTTCCATATTTATTTTGAAATATTACATTTCATGTGGCACAAGGCCAATATTACATTGCATGTGGCACAAGGCTAATATCTCATTCCATGTGGTCAATATTAAATTTCATGTGGCACAAAGCCAATATTACCTTTCATGTAGCACAGGGCCCTCATTCATTTAATGTGGCACAAGGCTAATATCGCATTCCATGTGGCAAAAGGCCAATATTATATTTCATGTGGCACAAGGCCAATATTAAATTTCATGTGGCAAAAGGCTAATATTATCTTTCATGTGGCACAAGGCCAATATTACATTTTATGTGGCACAAGGCTAATATTACTTTCATATAGCACCATGCCAATATTACATTTCATGTGGCACATGGCCAATATTACATTTCATGTGGCACAAGGCTAATATATTTCATGTGGCACAAGGCCAATATTACATTTCATGTGTCACAAGGCCAAAAGTTGGGTGGTTAAATGTTGTTCGCCACTGACTATCCTACAACTAGTTAATCTGGTTCCCGACTCAATAATTCCTTACAGTTTACTCATACACCCAATAAGTCATTCATCGTCATTCAGTTCAATAATACCATAATACCGCATATTTACTGGGATCCTAATAAATCCTAATAATGGCATGAATATGTTATTTTCATTCTGTGCATTTCCGCCTATCATATGATAATGCATGACGCAAGAGGTTTTTGTTACATCATCAGCTATTATCCACATGATGTACAAAATATTTCTCACTGCCAAATTAGCAACCCCTGTCATTGCATCTGTGTTGTGCATTAGTCTTAGAACATAGACCAGAACTTCTGAATTTCATTTACAAATGGACTCAAATTATGCTTCTATTTAATAAATGCTAGTTTGTACGTGAAATTATGTTAAACAGGTTGAAGCAAAACAGTTACGTAAAAAATCAGGGACATTTAGTGACAAAAGGAAAAATGGACGTCCAGGGAATATCATTGCGAGTGATGACCCTTCAATTGCTACACTATAACCAAGAAGTTCTTATAAGAGAGACGCTGCTCTGCTTGAAAATGGTACAAATCTTATTTCTAAGACATTGATTAGTTGTTGTTTTTTTTTTATCCTGTGACCCACACTTGTGTAAACTACTAACAGGAATGAAAAAAAAAGGCAGGGATATTTAATGACGAGAGGAAAAATGGACGCCCACGGAAAATCATTGCGAGAGATGACCCTCTGATGAAGCCCATTGCTACACAACGAGGGACGCTGCTTGAAAATGGTACAAATCTCATTTCCATGACAGTTTCAGATATGGTTAGTTTTCTTTTCTTTTTTAAAACCGAGACTCGTAGGGGTACTATGTGTACTTCAGCCACAGTAGAAGTGTTGTTTCTTGGGCAAGATAGCCTGACTGTTTTTTGTATTCTCCTAGACTAGAGAATCGAGTATTCATAGCCGCGATGAGAAGGCTATTAGCACGAAAGTGTGTGTATTGGATCCACCGTGCCATAGAATAAGCTTATAAATCCCGATTAATTGTAGTTAGGAAATCCAAGAGTTTGACATTTGCTTAATAACGTGAAAATTGGACAGCTGTTCGTTAAGCGTAAAAGAGAACATTAGAAACGACCTGGTATCTTAAAGGTTCACTGGTAGTCTAGTAAATATCTTGACTACCGGTGACCCGTTAATTAACTGACGGTTCAAGTTATAAAACATTGACGCTGATTTCAATATTAAAAAATAGTCTGTTTGAAGAAAGTTGAAATAAAAATACTTGCTGTATAAGCAACTCGTCGTTCTCAATCTTATTCACTAAAAAAATATATATATTTTTAAAAATTAGATTAACTTAAAAATATTTGTTCAATGTGCCAAAAATATTTTAAAATCATATTCACTTGAAAATATTTTTTAAATATGGCAAAAAAATATTTTTTTAAATATTTAAAATATTGTTTGTTTAAAGAAAACTGAAATAGAAATAAGAACGCACGCAGTGACACAGAGGTGGAAAGAGAAGTAGATGGAAAGAGAGAGAGAGGTGGGAAGAGAGAAGTGGAGAGATAGGTAGATGGAAAGAGAGGGAGAGGTGGGAAGAGAGAAGTGGAGAGATAGGTAGATGGAAAGAGAGGGAGGTGGAAAGAGAGAGAGAGGTGGGAAAGAGAGAGGTAGAAAGAGAAGTAGATGGAAAGAGAGAGAGAGGTGAGAAGAGAGAGAGGTGAGAAGAGAGAGAGAGAGGTGGAAAGAGAGAGGTGGAAAGAGAAGTAGATGTAAAGAGAGAGAAAGGTGGAAAGAGAGAAGTGGAAAGATAGGTAGATGGAAAGAGAGAGAGAAGTGGAAAGAGAGAAGTGGGAAGATAGGTAGATGGAAGGAGAGAGAGGTGGGAAGAGAGAGAGAAGTGGAAAGAGAGAGGTGGAAAGAGAAGTAGATGGAAAGAGAGATAGGTGGAAAGAGAGAGAGAGGTGGGAAAGAGAGGGGGAAAGAGAAGTAGATGGAAAGGGAGAGAGAGGTGGGAAGGGAGGAGTGGAAAGATAGGTAGATGGAAAGAGAGAGAGGTGGGAAGAGAGAGACAGATGGGAAGAGAGAGCGGGAGGTGGAAAGAGTGTGGTGTGAAAGTGAAGTAGATGGAAAGGGAGAGAGAGGTGGAAAGAGATAAGTGGAAAGATAGGTAGATGGAAAGAGAGAGAGGGGGGAAGAGAGAGAGAGGTGGAAAGAGAGAGGTGGAAAGAGAAGTAGATGTAAAGAGAGAGAGAGGTGTAAAGAGAGAAGTGGAAAGATAGGTAGATGGAAAGAGAGAGAGATGGGAAGAAAGAAAGAGAGAGGTGGAAAGAGAGAGGTGGGAAGAGAAGTAGATGGAAAGAGAGAGGGAGGTGGAAAGAGAGAAGTGGAAAAACAGGTAGATGGAAAGAGAGAGAGGTGGAAAGAGAAGTAGATGGAAAAAGAGAGAGAGGTGAAAAGAGAGAAGTGGAAAGACAGGTAGATGGAAAGAGAGAGGTGAAAATGGAGAGAGAGGTGGATAGAGAGAGGTGGAAAGAAACTTAAATCATTATGTGCCCGATATATATATATATTTTTTTTTTCCATTTTATCAACCCATTGCAGGTTATTTAAACCCAGAAAATATTTTCATATTGTAAGAATTTTTTGAAGATAATGTTGTCATTGATACTAATTACTAATTAACCCATAGTTGAGTGGGGAAGATGTTGATTCAGACGTTTCCCAAATGTATTTGCCGCTAAATAAATATAACTCACCCAAGTGGAATTGGATCTCGTTACTCCGATTAACAACACCGAGTTATTATTCATTACACCACCCGCACATCCGAGTAGAAACGTGTGGTTATGACATAATATGTATGGAGAATTATTTCCATTTTATGCAAAAACGGTGAAAAAGTGGACTCAGATATGTATGTAGTTAAAATGTAATCTGATTTTTTTGTTATCGTTACGTGATCAGGCATAGTAATTTTTGCGTCAAAAAATGATTATAGAATTTTGTCTTCAAATATTATTAGTGTCATAGTTAAGTGAGCGCAGTCAATGACCAAAAAGTGTTAAGTACTTCATGACAACAAAGTGTTGAGTAGATAAAGTCTAAGGAATTATGTCTTATTTTACCTTAATTACAATCCAAAAATGTTCAATATGCAAGGAATGTGCAAGTAAAAACGATAATAGTTCTAATAATAATGATGGTGGTGATGGCAAAATAAAAAAGTAATTGCATAAAACGGAAATAATTATTTAACTCCAGTCAGATGTGAGATAATTCATGTAACAGCTACACGTCTTTCCATCTTAATTTAAAATTTGAACATGATAGAATTGTGAAATCGGCCAAGTCACACTAAATTAATATTCTTAAAGATTCCAATTGCATTGTAAAATTATGTTTCCTATAGTTTTAACCTTGAGGAATATATATATATATATATATATATATATATATATATATATATATATATATATATATATATTACATCCAAAACATATCAATATCGCTACACAATTGCAGTTAAACGCATAAAATGCATCTCATCAGGTGATTGTAAATTACTGGCGAGTGATTTACAATCGCCTAATGAGATGTGTTGTAAAGCGATTTTGATATATTTTCGACGTAATATCCGAAAATAAATAATATTGTTTTACTCTGTATTGAACCTTCTTTTAAATTAAATTTTACGAACGTTGCAATTGTACTCTATTCGTTCTCATATTATATATATATATATATATATATATATATATATATATATATATATATTTATATATATATATATATATATATATATATATATATACACGAAATTTTGGAAATTATCCTGACGTTTCGTTTCACCGGTGAATTAAATTCTGTATTCTCGAACCAAAGCTTATTCTCTTTAAGCATATGAACGCTGGATATTTACTTTTGACTACTTTGCATAAATTCAATTCAGACTTTTTAAAATTTTATTTTTTTATTTAAGTATTTATTTATTTTAAGGTTTGACTATCTTACATTTTCAATAAATAATTTTGTGCGAAAAGGGATATTTTAGAAGAACCCGCTTTTTTTAATCGGAGTTTCGTAGAGAAAGACAATGTCATTGCATTTTTTTTCAACAAAGTCATATTTTATTAAAATGGAATGAAATAACTAAAACTGAATTAAATAACATATATTGGAAATAAATACGTGGAATAAAGAACTCGACGATACATGTGTACAAGAAGTAAATAAAACCGCATCAAATAGAATTACTTTTCTGCTTTGACAGTTCATTGGCGAAACATTTCAACGATATTTTCCAAATAAATGCATTTATATACAATTCCGTCTGATTCTCCTGCCAACTTTATTCATGTCGTATATTCCCACGTTTAAGACGAACTTCAACGCACCAAAATCACCCTAAAAATTGGGGGTCGTCTTAGCTTACAATTCTAAAAAATGAAACCTTAAATTCTCAGGGATGTTTGTCGGTAAGCGATAACGAATAACGTACTTGAAAAGATTCCCATCATGAAATAAACTGATAATGAAAGGAATAAAACCATTTTTATCTTAGTTATTGCTGCCATAACGCTGTAATAAATTGCCTATTCGATGAATAATTCCATATCAATAAAATGAACTAGGAAGATCAGCTGAGAAAATGTAAACACCGACTTACGATTGCTTTCACATGAACATTTATCTGTTATTAACATGTCGTTAGCGGTATTTTGTGTTTGTTGATGAAATATAAGAAAGTGGCTATTAGTACACTGGACAGTAACTGTTTAGATATAGGACAAGAAGAGAAAGAAGAAGAACCAATATTAGCAAGAGATCACGAAATGAAACGTAAGAAAAACATTGAAATATTGGCAAAATGTTACTCCAAGACAGAAAGTTAGAGAGGGCGAGGGGATCTTGAATAAGTTGAGTAGTGATCCTGAAATATATATATATATATATATATATATATATATATATATATATATATATATATATATATTTATACTTTATTTCAAACCTACATGAGCTTCCGAACCTTAGCTATGATTAATTAATGAGGAACATGCCATTTTCGGTTATGATCAATTTCATCACGATTCTTCCGTTAAACTTGGCGAGTAATTATACATTCTTATTGTTCAAAGTAGAGTATAAAGGCCTCGGGGAATTCCAGTAAGATATGTTTAATCACTTGTAAGATAGAACGAGCCAAATTTTAATCTAACAATTGGACAATTTTGCTTTACACGATTTGGACATTATATATATATATATATATATATATATATATATATATATATATATATATATATATATATGTGTGTGTATGTATGTATGTATGTATGTACAAGAATAGATAGATAGATAAATACATGTCATATGTGTTGAAACTTGACTAATGCATGGAATAATAATGCAACACAAAATGTACTTGGAACAAAATGTATTGAAACAAGAAAGTGTACACAATATTTACATATAGTCTTTTGTATATTCCTGGGAAGACCGTTCCTGGAGAATGTGTTGACTTAGTCGCAGTCGGGCAGAGTCTCTGGATTGAATCTCTTGATTCCCCTCCTCTTCTTCCCGGTACCAACCATATTTATATGGTCGGTACTCCACTATGCAAATTAGGTGGATACTACCACAACAATATGTATATTTCTATCGATTTCTAATACTGATCACTCAAGCTACAAATAGTGATGTGTAGTTGAATTTTGCTTTACTTTTTATATTATTCTATCTGTATATAAATTTTTTATCCATCTGTATATAAATTACTAAGGCATGACACAAACAATATACGTACCTATATATCTGATCATTAACATGAGTTTCGTTACCCGTTTTGTTTGCTAGGACAACATATATTGTAAACCTAATAGTAATCTGTGTAGAGCAACATTGCGCGAGAGAAAATATCCATTTGTTGACTGGTTTTAACTTCACACTTGCCCTTCTATACAGGTTGCTCTGGCAAAAAATATTTCTGAGAAATTAGCAATATTTTCTAAAAAACGGAATGGGAAGGTATATATATAATGCAGTTTTATATCTACCGAGGATTAATTGAGTTTTCAAAAGATGGCTTTGTCCGTGTTCCTGCTGATAAGTTAATCCTCTTTTAAGTTTGAAATGCTGTGACATAAAAATGTCTATTTCGTATTTTTAATAATTTGTTCAGGTCTTGTTTTCTAAGTTTTTCTTTAATTTTCTGTCGCCTGAGAGAAATGAAGTGCAAACTGTAATCATTGTCATTGTGTAGTGAGTACCATCCTTACTGTGTGCTCCATACTGTCGGCCTTGTACCATATCTACGCTTAGAAAATCACTATCTCAATATCCTTCAGTGTCTGTCTCTATACTCATTAAAAAATAGACCCACGTCCAGCCTACATAATTACAGAACCAAACTTAAAGAAAAAAGTAATAACGCTTTATAAAAGGCCTAAGATGGAATGTCTCGTATTTCCTCCAATGACAATAACAACAAGACCAATTCTAATAATAATAATATAACAAATTTCGATTCACATCAATGAAATGCCCATGCCAACAAAACTACCACATTGCATTTGAAAATGTTTTAATAAATATAAGCAATAACTAAGCAAGTAAGACAAAATAACAATAATTTCTAAAAATGATATGAAAAAGATGTAAAAATGATAACGAACTAAACACAAAATATTTACAAAAGCAGATGTGCCCGATGAGCTAGAAAATCAACGAAAATTAAGTCGCACACCAAAACGTAAGTATACGTATATGTGTCTTCATTAATATATATATATATATATATATATATATATATATATATATATATATATATATATATATCAGCAGATAAACCCATAATCATACTCATTATAAAACCCAGGTTGTGTGTGTGTGTGCGCGTGTCTGTACGTTTATATATTGGATCGGATTTCCTACATTTTTCAACCGTTTTCAACAAAACTTCACAGGACTACGTAAAATTACCTTGCGGTGTTTCTGACAGCGCCCAAAATTGGAAAGCACAATTGTTTTTGCACGAAATCAATTTGAAAACACGATTAAGTCGCCAGAATAAAAGGGGGACAACTTATATCGAGTTATACTTATTATAAAACCCAGATTGTTTGTGTGTGTCTGTTCGTTTATATATGGGATCAGATTTCCTACATTTTTCAACCGATTTCAACAAAACTCTTTTTTTTTTTTTGGCAGGTAGTGTTTCTTATTGTCTTTCACACTTTTTTCTTTATTTTTACATTCAGAATGCTTCAAAAATTCCATTTACAAGACAATTGTTTATAATAAAATTCTATTCAATCGGTAGACTCATAACGATTGAAAACAATGTTTTTGTTTGAGTTTGGGTTTGACCAATTCGTAAAAAAAAATAAATAATTAAGATATGCGTGTCCGTTAACGTTAAACAATAATCTTTGTTAATTTTATTTTTCATTCTTTATGATGGTCGATACTTGATCTATCTCTTACTGTTACATCCCCGGGCAACGCCGGGCTCTACTGCTAGTTCTCTATAAAAGGGAAACAAATCTAGTTGAGGAAGAAGTTACGAAATTTTGCAGAACCACAAATAAGGAAACTGAAAGTGATATGAACAAAGAGACTATAACAATCACTAATCTAAAATAAAACTATTAGCCAAAGTAGAACCATCTACTAAATTAAAAGAGGACAACTTCACTACTAAACTTCTTTCCTTCTAGATGCCGTGTCCTTTCAGAATCTATGCGATCCCCTCCCTCCATCCCTTGCAGCTCTCACCAAGTTCTTTCCCACCGCCACCTTCGCCATACCAGTTTCTGTCATCCACTTGCTTAAAGCCGCTAGGTATGTCATTCATTGTTTTCTGTTGTCTCTCTTTCCCTTTATTTGAACCGTGAGTATCATATTCTCCAGACCCTCCTTCCTCATTATGCGTCCCAGAAACTTATGCATTATTCTCACGTTTGTAATTGCCCTGTTAAGGTCATTATTATATTTGTGTTATAACAACGTAGTTCACGGATGGAATAGATGATTTGAAAGATAAAGGAATGACAAACATATTTTGTTCTCAGAGTGACTTTTAAATTACTAAGACATAGTCAAAGCCATATATATACATATATGCACATGACCAATGGGGTGAAGAATATATCACTTCTATCTACACAGCAAAGCAGTTTGTAGGGGTCTTAAATATGGAGATACTGCTGTGCCTGGAGAAGTCATGTTTATCATTCCAGATTTAAACGGGTCGGATTCATCGATGTCCAAAAAGACACATTCTACGAACGAGAAACAGCGATTTTTGGTGTTCTCAAATGGAGGGCTGGAAGCTGGTGTTCTTTTTAGATCAGGGAAAAATATATTCCGAAAGAAAAACAGCATCGTGCACTTCATGGGTGTGACCATAGTCACCAAGATTTGAAAATTCCGTGTTGTGAGGCTATTTAACTCATAATGGTAGGTTTTGAATTCAGCGATGTGCTTACAGATCCGTTGCACCCAAGACTATAGGCTCAAATCTGTACTGCTCTTAGACTATAGTTGTTGACACGCAAAACTTAATAAAAATTCATTTGAAGCTATCAATGCAGCATTTATATGCCATGGTTTTTGTGGATGTAGCGATAAAGTCTCTTCATAAATTTAGAGTTTGTTTTACACTGTTGAGGAATGTTTTCCATTTACCCGCCATCTTTAGTCTTGATTCGGAATCCAATTTCTTCCACTTTTTGTTTCATGTGAATTTTTCTTTTAGAAAGAAACGGGAGTGAGCTATGGAAGAAATATTTATTCTCCCTCTTCTATCTCCCCTTTATGGGCAGTATTATATCCGGGGTATAACAACAATGTCGTTCACGGAGGGAAAAGAAGGGTTGAAAGGTAAAGAAATGGCAAACATACTTTGGTCTCAGAGAGACTTTCAAATCACTAAGACATACACGAACTATATATATATATATATATATATATATATATATATATATATATATATATATATATATATATATGCTCCCAAGCATGGAATAATATATCACATATATCTACACAGCAGAGTAGTGTGTAGGAAAATGTCTTACATATAATATGGAGATATACCTGTTTTTGGAGAATGCATAATGGTGACTCCTGATTCAAACAGTCCGGATTCATCTATGACAAGACGAGAAAGTATTCCAGGAACGGGAAGCGCCGAGTCTTGGGTTTTCCTAAATGGAAGACGGGGAGCTGAAGTTTTATCCTATAACTGGGAAAAATATATTCCCTAAAGGGAAAGGGCATCATGGACTTCTAAGCTCCTGGAGCGGCTGATTGTTCATTTGCCTGGACTATGTGATGGGGGACAAAGAAAGCAATCTTTCGCTTTGGCTGCTGTAAAACGATCCAAATTTGACTACCGCTCTCCTCATAATATCGAGTGACGACAGTAAGATATCCCCATGTGACCTATGTGAATTCTCTCCATCAAAGGGTGATAAGCGCCTTCTGTAACTCTACAATATTAATTAACTCAGTAAACATAGGAAAACGGTATATGATTATCACTATTAAAGATATAGATAAAAATAAAAAACTGTCGAAAAGGTATATGATACTACAATACGAAAATATGGAGGAAATATCATTAACAAACTAGAAATGTGTTTATAGTGGGACGATGGTCTAATGATTCTAAGAAATTTTAACTGCAGAACAACATACATAATAAGAAATAATAAAATCCTTCAAAAATCGATGATTCGCAATCGACATAAAATTCAACCAAAATTTAGTAAATTTGCTCGATATTTCCTTCAAACTAAACAGCGGAATATACGAACTACAGAGAACACCAAATAAGAAGCCAATTTATATTTACAAAAATTACAATCACTCACTACCTTATTCAAACAAATATCCATATCTACAAATAAAAGTCTATCCTCAAATTCTAGCTAGTAAATACATTTAATGGAAACAAATAAAACAAAAACGACTAATCACTAAGAAAGAACGGTTATTGAAACAAATTAGAATATAAAAAAATAAAAACCCTACTAAAAACAACAGTAAACACAATATAATTTAGTTAATCCTCTCTATAAAAATATAATAAAACAAAAGTAAGCAAAATATTCTTAAACTAATTGACAAATACTTCCCTAAAAACAGCAAATTATCAAAATTATCAATGAGAATACATTAAAAATTAGTTACAGCTGCATGGATAGAAAGGGGAAAAATACTTAAGCACAATTAAAACACATACACGAGTCAAAATATATAACAATATATATAAAATATATGCATATGTATGTGTACACATATTCATCTCTAAAAATAGATACATACATAAATATACATACACACGTATATATATATATATATATATA